TTTTCAGCTGGCTTTAGAAAAGGTTTCAGGGGTTCTTGGATGAAAACCCAGTCAGCTTGTGAAGGAGGAAAGTGACCTGGAGAAATATACGCAACTGAAAAAATGGGGGGGAATTTTTTTTTTTCTTTCTTCTAAAAACCCTTCAGTAGTAGAGGCACAATATTGCTTTTTGCAGTTCATTTTGTAATGCTTTAGAATTACTTAAGATCTGAAAGTCCAAAGGGTGGCTAAAGAGAACAATATTTTGTTTATGATGAAAAATACCCTAAAGGCTTCCTGAAAAGTCATGCAGACTTGTGTTCATTGAATATAAAAAGGCAAACATGTGAAGTTCATTTAAGAAAGACTTTTGAAAATAGTATCAATGCTTACCCTCTAATTTCAACAGCTGCTGAAATAGCAAGGTCAACCTGATAGAATGCTACTGGACTCAGATTGTCATACAAGTTGGAACTGCAGAGAAAATAAAAGTTAACTTCCTACATGAAATAAACTAAGTATCAAAAAAACCCCAAAACCAAACCTTAAAGTAATTGTATGTAACATCATAACACAGCTCCCCAGCCACTGTAGGAAAGCACAATTACTAAAAACTAAGGAGAAGGTTCCAGCAAGTTCTCATTGAAATGCCTGACAGTCCCACTTTGAGTGCAGTTTGGAGGTACCTCAAGTAGCAGGTGATAGAGGGGACACAGCTAACGCTGGCTTGTCCCTTAGCTGCCCCATATGAGACGTTTCAAATGCCAGTGCTGTGGGACATCACCTATATAGCTAGCAGAGCCTGAAGTTACACTTGAGGACATCTGTTTTCCTCAGGAGCTTGGCCTCAGAAAGCAGGCAAGTACCTCTTCAAGATAACACCTTGGTAATGCCTGTTCCCTATGGACTGATTACCATGTTCAGTTGCATCACTGTGTTTGCATTCCAAAGTCATGTAGAGGAATTCATTCCATGTAAGGTGTAAAATCTTACAGGAACTTCCTTTCTCTTCCATCAGAAGAGAAGCATGACTTAAGCAATCTCATTGACTGTTTTTTCTCCCAGTGAATGGCAGTTAGTGACTACTGTTGGCCTAAGGAGGACAACAGACACCCCAGAGAACATCACTTTCTGCAGAGAAGAACTGGAGTCACAAGCCACTGGCACAGCTTACTGGCTGATGGAGAAGAGGAACAGACAGCAATGTGAGATCAAAAAGATATTTAATGCTGCCAAGGCCTTTGATCAGAATGGCAAACCACTGCATCATTAAAATAGAATGGCAGGTTTAAACTTATTTAACTCTTGTAGAATTAAAAATGCATATGTGAACAGGAATAATTTATTCACTGCATTTTAAAAAAGATGAAGCCCTTAAATGGAAGGGGGGAAAAAAGGGGTTTGGCCCATCATGTGGAATAAAAAGCAGCTGTATTTGTACTGTCTACTGAGCAACATAAAACTGTGTTGGGTAAAGAGATTCCTATTGATCATATCTCCAAATCTTAAATTCACCTCCAGTAGGTATAAATTCAGATTTAGATAGTTAACAGGAACAGTACTGTTTTGTTCCATTTAATTTTTAGACTCTCTCATGCTGGCTACTTTAAAACACTTCAAATGGTTCACTGCATGTTGCTTCTGCTCAGGGCATCACATGCACTGCTGTTTCTGAAAGACTTACACCTCTCATCCTCAAAATAGGTAAAATTTGAAATTCTGGCTCTACATCAGAAGGAATTCAGAGTTCAAACATCAATTTTAAAACAGGGCCACAAAAACAAAGGCACAGGTCATTCTGTGGTACTATGCAAGTGTCAGGAGACCACAATGGTACAAACATACAACAATACAAAGTACTTCTTGAAACACTTCAAATGCTTTTGCTCCTTGTTACTAGAATTTCACTTGTGCCATGGCCTGTCTGAAAGCTGTAAGCAAAAGAAACTGCATTCAAAGAGAAAACTGTCCTTTCTTACTTTTTTCTCCTATTTTAGAAACAAAATTAATTAAAAAAGATGCATTTATTTTTTTAAGCAATTACAAGGCAAGGACAAGACAATTAGTCCAGAGTGAAACTAACTGCTCAGTTTACAGTCTGTTTACTCCATGTGTTATCCACCAGGTGAGGGAACCTACACACAGATTTCCTTACCTTCGGATCTGCAAGTCAAACTTCACAGAGGTGTCCATCTCAGACTGCTGGTGGACGCTGAAGCGCAGGCCAGCCAATAGCTTTAGAAAAGAAAAAATCAGCATTGTTCAGTGGAAGACAATAAAATACACGATTAAAAGCTTCTTAATACTACTGTACTACAACAAAATTGCTTGAGGCTTGTGGTCATAAGAGAACACACAGAGAATTGCCAGATAAAACTTGTCCAGTTCAAGACTAGAAATGTAGTGTGCCCTCTGTAGATCTCAGCCAATGGATCACTGCCACAAAACAGAAATCTAAGGCTTACAGCACACTTGGCCCTCCTGCTTCAGCCATTTTCACACTGAACTTGATCCTCCCTTTGTGTTGCAAATTGTACTGTATTCTGAAGTACAGGGCATGCTTTAATGATTCTAAATTCAGTTCCTACGGTTTGTTTCTAAGTTAGTGCATGAGAGTTGCCTCAACATCAGTACAGTTCAGCTTCATATACTTTGAAAGACTTTGTAAAAAGTATTTATTCATCTATATGAAACATTTCTTGGAAGGAAAGTACCATCAAAGTGTTTACAATTGTGACTGATTTCACTTCATTTTCTCAGAAAATAAGATTTATTATGTCATATCAGCTTAATATCTGCCAGGTCCCAGTAATAGTTTTTTTTTAAATTCTTCTGATTTCTGCTGCATTTGGTGGAAGTGCAGAGGTCTCAGAAAACTCTCAAACTTCACAAAACTAGGCAGAATAGAGCAGCACTATTAGGTTTCTACAAAGAGAAAGGTGCATTATGATCTAGCTATTTATTATATACCAAAAAATACACATCAGATAAATCTAAAGACAAACTCATGAGGGAGCAGAGTTCATTAAATCCACTGTGTAACTTATCGCTCCTTTTAAATTGCATCGTAAAAATCCTGAATAATCCTTTCAGCCTTTAATTTAGCCAAAAAGTTGAAACCAATTACCACTGATCTAACAAAACATGTGGGCAGCTAAATGTTAACTAGATGTAATCCGAAATTCTTGTGACTCAACATCCTGCCCAAACACTACTGTCATTAAGAAAAATGCCAGGTGTACTCCTGTTTGAGGTACCAGGCACCCGCTGGAGCAAACCTTACCTTAGTTCCTGCTTTCATGGGGTTTCCCAGGTCACAGACTACCGTGCGAGTCTGATTCTCTGTTTTAAATGCACATGACAGTCTTGCTAAAGCCTGCAATACACCAGGAAGAAATATCATTCTATTAAGCAATGTCATTCTCTACATCCAGTCATCTGAACAACAGTCTGCAGAAAAGTTCTAGATGTGCTGTGTTGATTTTAATGTAATTTCTTAGTCCTAATGTAGTCATGAACTAAAATGAAACACAATTTGAGTATGAAAGTCTTCATGGAGAAAATATTTTTGATAAGAGATAGATGCTCTTTCCATGTTTATAAAAAGAGAAGTTCAACACTCCCATAGTGGGTAGCACTGATGATTTTTGTGACCTAAAGCACTTCTCCACTTGATTCTTTAGAACCTATGCGAAGAAACTTTAGCAACTAGGCAAACTCTCCATTGGGAAATAAAGATTAGGAGGCAAAATAACTTGAACACTTACTAGTTCAGACTTTGGGTAAAGCCTCATTACAAAGCTCTAGAGTAGCTGAGGTAAACGGGAGAACCAAAACAAAGACATGGCCCAACATGTATGAAGGATGTGGTATCAAATTTGGAATCCTTTGGTATAGGGGGAAAACACTTTTCCCTTTACATTCTGCAACTTCACAGATACACTTAATGATCATAGATTACACAGAATAAAAACAAGGATGAAGAAAGTCTGGAAGTATATTACTTATATATAGTTATAATGGGCTAAATCAAAATTCTGACTATGCCCAGGCATCTTCAAAGTAACAGAAGTTATACAGAAATTTTATAATGCAAGGGTAAGTCAGGAAATAAATTTTAACATTCTGTGTAGTCAGGGTAACTGACACCTGATACTTTGTACGTGCTTAGGTGGAAGAGAACAGTAACACCCAACATCACATTGTCTCGCAGATGCCCAGCTCTTTACCTAGCACATGACATGCAAGTCTAAATTTAAATAACCTAATAAGGGCACTGTTCAAATCAAGACTTTTAGCAGATAAACTCAGTGTGTCAAGCTCCATCACACAGATGATTCTTTGTTGCTAGCAGTGGGCTCTTAAAACTGCAACTGTCCAGCCAAGGGCTTGAAAGAACCATACCATTTCTTTGGTGCTTTGCTTTAAGACTTAAGCATAAAAAACACCACTGATGGATCCTCTCCCACAGACTTCCACAGCAGCACCTGAGATGTGACTACCCAAAGAATCAAGAGTGTTGGAATTCTACCTCGTTGTTCCGAACGACACCGATGAAATCTGCTTGGGGCGGAACGATGACAAAGAGTTCTGCTTCATAGGCTCCTTCTCCTTGATTCTGAGCACTGACAATTAGTGTCAAGGGATTGTCGTCACCGATATAGATCTGCTTCTGGTCACTGAAAAAAACAGTATAAAAACGAGCTCTGCATTCAGGTTTTAAAGCATATTGAACTGGTTGAACTTACAGAAATGAGACATTCTGAAACTGGAAAAAGACATGAGAGAAGTTTAGAGGCAGTGCCTACGGTTCAGCAATAACAGGAGAGCTCTACACTGTTGAAAACAAAAAGTCTATAATCACAAATATTGAGCGAATATTAGATGCTGTTTTGGAAGAATTTTTTTTTATAAAATTTACCTTACACTATAAAATCACTGACACCTTCTTTTAACAACTAGCAATTAGGAACAGCTAAATCACTGTGTACATTTTTAATGACACACCTACTTAGCAGAGGTACAAGCATACATTTTTAACAAAACTTCATGGAAGGCTCAACTGTAGAATACAGCCAAGACCTTTGTAACACGTTTGTTCCAGATACAAAAAGAATATCTTTCCAAATAGTGTCTTTTCATTTCACCAGTTACAAGAAAAGCTAACTGTACTTGCACTGATCTAAAATGTTTCTGAAGGATTTCCATGAATTAGTATGCTTGGGAACTGTGTGAACGTGTGTATGTGCTAGAGCTCTGCACTAAGGGCATTTAAAAAAAAAAAATTACATTTATGAGTAGAGATAACAGTAAGAATGCCTTTCGGGCATACAGAGCACAAAATCCCAAACTCATGAAGGAATTATGAATTAAATCTTTTTTTTTTTTTCCAGGTTAATAAAAGCTATTATCAACAATTTTTTCATGTGTGACAACAGAGCCTACTTCACAGCTTGCTGGATGAAATCATGCCTGTCCACATCTTCAGGGGTCTGTCTAGTACTAAGTAACAGCACAGTGGTACCACTGCAGCTGAGACTGCTTGGTGCTTGCCATGCACGTCCAGCTTCACAAATACACAGATAAATGCTGTGTACTTAGAGTGGGGGCCAGGGTGGTGGGTGTGTGCTCTCCCCGTATTAAATGCTGAAGACATCAGGTTACAAAACAGAAAATGGGTTTTCCTTAAAACAAATAAGCAAGAGTTTAGATTGTCTACATTGAGGAGTCCCATTTATTTCAATACAACTTTTTAACAAAAGCGTTAGAAAGTCTTGAATTTTAGAATTCAAGTAGGGAAGTTACTTTCCCCTGTAGTATTTTTCTCATTTACCTTTCTACTGAAACCTCCAGCTTTGGTTTGCAGATATTATCATCACCACAGTCCAGCAGAATATGTGCCTATGCAAAAATCAAACACATATAGTTGTAATAATTCCTGCATCTGTTCTAACATACATTTCCAATAATACTGTTGCACCATCAAAAAATGTTTCCTAATTAGCTGGTTATGAGATATCTTCATCTCATCAGTTTAGAAGAGAATGAGTAAGTTTTTATATATGGAGGGCACTATGCCTTATCCTGCCACACTGCAATCCTAGGACTGATGTCTACCAATTTTCATCCTCTTTCCACACTTTTACTAACCTGTGCATCTTGAGTTGCATCTCCACTGTCCTCTTTACAAACAAGTGTAACAATTTGTATCAAGGGCAGAAATAGAAAAACTAACTTAAGAGAACTATAGGGATAAACATGAGCAGCATAGAATGAGCAAGAGATGAAACACTCCAGTCCCTCAAGACTAACACCTTCCACACTATCTCCAGAAAACTGCTAATTAGTATCTGTGAAAAGGAAGTCCAGCACTAAGGAATAAATGTCAAAACAGAGATTTTACATGGAGGAAAGGAAAAAAGATAAGACAAATGTACAATAACCATCAATATTTCCATTATTCAAAGACTACAGCCGAGATGTATATTGTGGCATCTTAATTTGTCAGAAGTCCTAAAGTGAACAAACGTAATGAAAGTCAAAAATATGTTCTGGAACCTCTCATCACAGGCTGTGTGAGGATACCTGTCTGCTCATATTGGCAGGAGTGAACTGGTTGAGGATAGGGTGCAATCCTGTTGCATCTGCAGCTGTTCTGTAATCCAGACGATATTCCATAAAAATAGTAATGGGAGTTAGTTTGTCTCTGAATTCAGATTCATCCTGAGGAAACCAAAGATTCAAATCACAATTAAAACTTGTGAAGAACACAACAAAAAAAATATCCTTCAAAAATATCTGTGGGTGACAGTCATCCCAAGAGCAATACTGAGCAGTATTTTAATTTATTGTTCATGTTGTAGTAGGAATGAGGCAGACAAAACAACATTAAAACTTCTGAACTCTTTTCAAACTACAAAATCTCTCTCTAGAAAAACCTTTCTCTCAGGAAACCTGCAGTGTAAACTTTGAGGATGGACAATTTTAGTAGTAATGTGCCTGTTTTACAAATGGAAAACCGGGCAGAGAAAAGTGCTACGTGATGGAACTGTAATAGCAAGGAGCCTAAAGGGCTACACAATTCCTCTCCTTCCTGATGGAAAAAATTCAGCATGCTTCTAAAATCTACCACAGATACTTGGATTTGGACTTGTGATTTTTTTCCTTCCTAAAACTATTATTTGGTGCTTTGAGTTGCTGACTTTCATATTGTTCATTTCAAATCATTCTGTTTATCAAATGTTGATCCTGCCTTTTAGAGGACTTAAAAAATATGTCACAGATTTTATCAGTGTAAACTCTGCTTTGTTATACTCATCTCTGAGAATCGTGAAAACTGCTGAATCATTGTAAGATTTTACTTCAGAAGTAATCTTCTGTGGGCTGAATCCTATTAAGAACAGTTGTCAACTGGTTCTGCATCCAATTTAAGGTAATTAGATACAGGTCATGTGTCACTACTTTGTGTAGGAGAATGTGTTAAAAGTGTTAAAGCTTTTCTAACACTGAGATGTGGGATGTCTATTTCCATACATATCCCACTCACAATGCCAGCCAAAGAAAGGTATTACCTACTCTCCATGAATCCTTAATGATTATAAGTATTTTTATTGTTTGTTTGTTTGTTTTTTGAAGGGGGGAGTAAGTATTGTGTATGTTTCACTTACAAGTACTCAGAGATAAATCTGAGCTGCATCTAACTTACACAGCTACACTTGCACATGTCTTTCCTTATTTCAGCCAGTGTTTCACCTACTGAGATACACTTTTTTTGTTAGCATCTGTCCACATTTGTGGGGACTAAAACAAAGACTGAGAAAAAGCAAACCTAATATTTTGACCTTTTGTCTCCTGTTATTTGTTGATATTTACTTTTTAGTTGCAGATCTGTATTTTTTCTTTATTACTCCACCTCCAAAGTAGAAGCAGAATTTATGTTTATTCACTTTCATGTTCCTTGGAAATTATAACTAATTCTGTGCCTAGATGTATTGTCCAAGAAGTCCATAACAAAGCTCAGAATTAAATTTCCAATCCATTTAGTGACCAGGACCTTGGTCACAATAATATCCATCCTTCATCCTCTGACAGCAGTGATAACCCAGGACACAAATGGTTTTCATAATTTTAGGTATATCCATCAGGCATGGATGAAGTTTCTCCAGTATTTCTTTTTTTTTCTACTTTTACACAAGAAACTTGTAATAGACAACACACCAAAAATTATTTGCCTAAAACGTAAATGGCTACTTACCCTCAAAAAGGCATCAAGTTCTTCACAATTCATCTTGCCCCCCTTTGTAATAGTCATGTTCTTAGAGTGGCTAGGCTGTTTGCTGTGGAGAAAGAGAGCTCTCCTTATAGCTCCTTTCTGCTTAAGCTTATCCAACAGCAGCTCCACTTGGAAATCTGTCCAATCCAAAGTGTATAGGTTAGGGATGTTTCATGCAATTAAACACAATGCAGATTCCCATCAGAAATGGAACCCAATGCTGATTTCAGCTGCAATGAAAACCTAGTACTTCAAACTTTTGAAGCTTCCAGTTCTTTCTGCATATAACCTGTTAACTGCATTGGTTCTCAAAACAGTAACTAACAAGCCCTGCTGTTTTCCTGAATTGGACTCTGCCTTTTTCTTAAAAACTGGAAACCTGATAAATTTTTAATTTACAATTGCTATAGAACTGGCAGAACAAAAGTTAGAAATTTTTTCCCCAGCAAGGTTCTAAAGGAAGTCTGCTCATAACACTTAGATGAGCAGTGCAGTTAAATAATGATAATTACTTCAAATACTTGATAAAGATAATGAAGTTTAATATACCTAACAGTTATTTATACTTAATCTTCCCAAATTATATCACCTCTTAATATGCCATATAGAAAATAAGCAAAGGCTTTTATAATCAAAAGACAAAACCTGACCTAGCAAGCTGTCTGCCACACTACAAAATCTCTCAGAGACAGCTTAAAAACCCATTTGAAACAATCTTTTCCTGATTCTGATCCAGGGAATCTGATGAAAAAATCAGTGATATCAATCAGAAGGCCCTGTTTTTAACAGAAATGTGAGGTCTCTTGTGGCTTGTCTATGTATTTCAGGACTAACAATGCACATACTTGAATATTCTTGTCTAAAACTCCCCTGAACAAGAGCTGATCTCAATTCTGTAAAATACAAAGGATGTTCCAACACTAGTTCCACCAAGTGGTTAAGCATGTGCTTGAAGTGCCAAGTGTGCTCAAATCCCACCAACTTTAACATAACTTCAGCAAAACACCTGCTGAAGACAGTCATACAGAGGTGTATGGTTACTGAACTGTTAGGATTGTGCTGTAAAGGGTCGTCAATGGTTTCAACAATGAAAAGGAACAATGACCAGTGCTCAAGTCTGCAAACAATATGAAAAGAATTGAAAGTTTTTAAACTAGCAGAACTTACTGAGTGAATTAGGGAGCTTTCCTTTGCCATCCGCTTTTAAGCAGAACTTTACTTTGAAGCTGTTTTGGAGGAAAACAAAATATTAATTTCACACACTTCTTTAATGTTCTTCTCAAATTCTTTACTGTTTTTCACAGTTACAAAGTATTCCTTCTGAGACTCTAGCTCACTCCCAAAACCTTTTTTCTGCTGATGGGAGGGAAACTGTAAGACAGCAATGCAAGCACTGCAAAACCTTTGGGTCTTGATGCATGTAGGAATAGTCACCTGTGGAGTATTTACTGCTGAAATCAAATGTGGCTTCCTTATTTTTAAAGCTAGAAGGAACTGGTATACTGAGTTGAAAAGGAAGTTAGCATTAGAAATAAAAAGTAGACTTGGATAATAGTCCAGAAATAAGAACCAAAACCAGTTTGCAGAGCAGAAAATTTCCCAAGAGTTTTCCAAAAGCCCATCTAAAAAGTAAGTTCATGGGTAGAAACATCACAAAAGCTGTCTGATTCATTACCATCTTGGGAAGATTATACTGTGTTCAACAGAGGCAACTGGCAATCTTTGCAGGTAGGATCTAACTTAGGAGGCAGTCTAGCACCTGTTGAAGACAATGTTGGTCTTCCTACTATTATCAAAGAGTTCTTACTTTGTATCATCTGTTCTTTCATAAAAATCTGTGCTTAATTGCCTTTTTTAATTATCTGACTAGAATTCCTGAAGCCTTTCAAAATTGAAAGCTTATGAAAATAAAACCAAAAAATGTCCCTCCCCTTAAAGGGAAACAAAGATACCCTGCTTACCATGAAACTTTCACATCTGACAGTGAACAGGCTTTGTTTTCTGGGTTTAGAATGGTTGGATTAACTTCCAGGGCAGCATTTACTCTAATAACTGGTCTAGCCCTGCAAAGAAGACATCCTTTTGAACAGTATTCAACACTACCTTAGACAGTACCCTCCCCATTACATTGTGAAATATGCATGTACACATTTAGACTATATTTCATGAAACCAAGAAGAACAAGTAATCACTGAGTAGATTAGGGAAAAGCAGGAAGCTTTTCTGAGCCCTTCCATTACCATCAGGGGCAGAGCATGGACAATTCCTTTAAGAGGAAGTCCTGCCTATTTCTAGCACAGACAAACACAGTATCTTCCCCAAATGAGCAAGTTTGGATGAGAATATTGGGATTGCAGTGCAATAGCTAGCAGCACCTGATGTGTCAGAAGCTAGAAAACTCTCACTCAGCCTTGAGGAGAGATGGTTTATGTTTTCTCCTACAGCAAACAGTAGATTTCCTCAGTGATAACAGCAGTGTAACCTTTTTTTACCTCCATTAGTTTGGAAGGTGGATTGGCAGAATTTCAGACTTCCTGATCCTGCTTGCTTTGGTAACTCAAGAATGCTGCTGAGGTTTCATCCTGCTTGCCCGTATGTGAAAGCACAGAGGGACACTCACCTGTACAGCACAGCTGTGTCAACACCAAAGGCTCCAACGATCAGGTCTAGGAGGAGAGGAGAAACATAACACATTACAGTTTAATTTTTAAAGCATGCTGTTAGTCAGAGGTGGGGCTACTATGAAGTTATTCTAAAGTGACATTGAGAGCAAAGGACCTGGATATCCATTTTTGTCCACATCAGTGGCTCCTTTCAGCGAGTACCCAAAACTGGGTGGCATAGTGCGAGCAGCCCACTGCCCTTCCAGAATCTGAGATGGGACTGAATTCAAACCATTTGCTCTTCCATTGTAGATATAGACAAGTCCTCTCTTATCCTCTCCACCATATGGTGCAGCAACTGCAATGTCTGTAAACCAAAGGAACAACCATCAGCATCTCCAGACATAAACTAGGTGAACGTACCTGTGCTTACATCAATCTGTAGTCTCTGACGTTACAGTTTCAACGTGTTTCAGTAGGGAGGAAATGCAGCTGGCCTTTAAATTGCTCATAAAGTACCTTCCTTTTTTTTCTCCATTGGATGCTCATTTTTCCAGAAAGTATGTTTAACAAGAACTTATATCATTGACTTGTATGGGGTGGAGGGAGAGAAAAAGACTAGTTGTGCAAACACTTTCTCACTTCAGTAACCAACTTACAGCCAAATCATATGGATTTGAGATGCTTTTGGGAGTACTGAACACCCAGAATTAGTCACTGTTGGCATCAGATCACAAAACTAAGTGGGACTATCTGCCCGTTTCATTAACACACTCATTTTCCTCCAAAGGGTGTGACATTTTAATAATTTTGGAAAATTTAAATCAGGCCAAAAGAATAAATATCAAATTCCAGTCTATTCCAATCATGGCCTGGCAATATGTTTTATGGAGAACTTTCAGTTAGTGCAATTATGCTATCTCTTAAAGCTTAATAAGTTTAAAAGTACACATTATCAATGACTAATAAAATCTAATAAACAAAATGATTAGACTATCTGTAAGGGTAGCTTTAGAAGTGTACATATGATCAAAATTCAGCATTTTTGCAGTCAGCTCCATGACCAAATGTGAAACACTATAAACAGTAATTACATTACTCCCTCCTCTTTCCTTAAATTTGAGACAGTTTCATGAAAAGAACAAGGACTCAGAAGTTTACCATTTTCTATTTTTGACTTATCTTTACAAACTCTATGAAAACAGGAGAAATTCCTATCTTGCACCATACTGTGTGGAAAGCATTTTAATTAACACTCCCAAAAAGAAACAGCAGGAAAAAAAAAAAAGAAAACCCTAAATAATGGCAAAGTAATTGAAAAGATGCAGCTTTTGCTATGATTTTTCTCACCTACTGTGTATTTCAGAATGAAATATGATGTAATCAACACTTTTTTGGACAATGTCATCAAGTGAGCAGATTTTTGGCTATCAGCTGTAGCCTTTCTGACATCTTCTGCAAACAGCTGTGTGATATTGCATCTTCACACAAATCCTGTATGCTATTAGCCACTAAAAAGGGTCCCTTCCAACCCAAACTATTCAATCATTTTATAATTTCATTTTTAAAATAAATTAGAGCTACCTGGGAATTTAAAATATTAGACTTTATAATTTCTGATCTTTCAGAAAATACTTAACTTGCACATAAAATAGGAAAAACAAAACTCAGGATTTTTTTCTGGAACTCGGATTAATCCCACTCTTTAGGAAACACTGGAGTATGGCTTACAAAACAAAGTGTGCTCCCTAGGATTCCCGGAGTCTCCATCCCAGAACTATGAGACTCTCCTCTGTTTCATTGCTCTCCATTCCTATGTGAAAGTAACAAGAAGCACTGGCAATGGGTTTGAGAGTCCACAGCTTCAGGTGTATCAGGCTCGGAATTCTCATCCAAATACTTGCTTAAGACACGCAGCTCTTGGTACAGTTGGTTGTAGTTGTTATGGGATGTTTTCACCAGACTTTTCCATTTTGGTAAAAAAAAAACAACAACAAACTAGACTTTTCTCAGGAAAATCTCTTCTATCAGAACATCTTTCATCAGCTTTCTGAAACAAAACCTTCTGTTCATTCATCATTGTGTTTCTGGAGAGGAAAACTGGCTCTAAGCAATGGAAACAGGAAAGTTATATCGAAAATATCCTAACAAGTCACAGTGGAGAGTCAGATACTTTGAAGTTTCAGCTGTACTTGTCACTTAGAAAGTAATATACTGATCAGTGGAACAGCTACAATAATCCATGCTGTAGTTTGAATGGTATAGTCTCTGCTCGATGCATACATGTAACTCCTGTTAGCATTCCTGGGAGTAGCATACAAGCATCGAAAGGAGTCTAGACCTTGGTGTCCAACTTTCAGTCATGGTTAGAGTGCCTAATGTTTGTGTGCACAATCCACATGCCGTGTGCTGTCTAGATTTCATCTACAAATGGAAAGTATTGATCAATAAATGAGATCCTACCATTGAAGCCATCCTGATCTAGATCCCCCAGAGGTGCAATAGAACTGCTGAATCTTGCAAATATCTCAAAACCATTCAGCTTTGTGATCTGAAACCCTCCAGAGGCTCGTTGAAGGCAAATGGAAACCTGGCCAACCTCTTGAAGTTTTCCATCAGAACCTCGATCCATGAAAAGAGGGGCTCCAATAAACAAATCTGTGTAACTGGACCAAAGAAGGATAAGGTTCTTCAGTAACAGTATGAAAACTCATTTTCATTCTCTTAAGCATGCATAGGATTCACTCAGCACTGAAGTCAATATAAATGAAAGTTATCTTTAAATTGCAGTCGAAGGCAAATATTTATCAACAAAGCACAAACGTAGCAGAATTTAATGCATCTAAAGCATGTGAATACCCACATGTGTATTTATGTAAATAAATACAAAAGCAAATCTACAATTGTTGAAAGAAATGTTGAGTGCTACCAAGAAAGTGTGTGGTGCAGATACACGCTAAGTCATAATGAGGACAGAAATCTATATTGGAAAGTCTATTTTAAAAAGCTTCTTTTTGTATTTCCTGAAACAAGTTGGGTGGCAGTGGGGAGAAGAGGGCACTTACTCGTCCCCATTGATATCTGTGGCAGCCACTGAATACCCAAAATAGGCAGCCATCTGGAAAACAAAGTTCAGACCAAACTGATGAGTTGTAGTGACAGACACACAGACAAGCTTATGCAGCACTGTATAGAGAAGATGTTAGCGAGATGATAACATATACCACATTTTTTTCTTTGTCTCCTCTCTCCTGATATCTTTCTTTCCCTTCCTTACTGTTAGGAAGTAAACTGATCAGTTACCTTCCCCACCCCCCATTTCATAATCCTGTCTTCCTTCCCAGTTCTCAAAATAGGCAGCATTTCCTTCATTTAAAATAAGATTTTTTTTCTAAGTAGTACTACAAAACAGGAATTTGCAGAACACATACTTTTAGGATTCCTACATACCTGGTAATCTTTCTTTTGCACATAAGCTACCAACATACAGGATATGTTCTAGTACCTTAAATACTGTCTCAGTATGCCATTTCTATAGGAATAGCCACCTGGTCACCCCCCACACTGAATAAAGCTACATACCTGCTCTCCAGTGAAGTTGTACATGGAAGACATGTTTTTCCCATTGTAAATAGACACCTGCACATGAAGAAATGCACATTACAGCACAGCAACAATATTAATCTGTTTTATTTATTGTAAAATTTAATGTTTCAAATTTCCTACCATGCCCAGAGTTCTTGCTGCTCTTGGGACTCCTGATATAAAGTCTGAAATACAAAGGAAGACACCCACATGACATTCAGGTCCCAAAACATACTGACTTCACTGGAACAGAGCAGCTCGTTACTTTATGCATTTTCATGGACACTGTATCATTTGTTCTATACCATTTCTTTGAAAGACCTCCCAGCCTGTTAATGTATTTTTGTTTTACTGAAGCAAAGGTCTTACCTTCTATGCCATCACCATTGAAGTCTCCAACAGCCACCGAATAACCTGATCAATAGACAATATTAGTAAATCACTTAAAAAAAAATTATCAAACCTTTAATCTCTCTTTACACAGCTCATAGGTCTCTATGCACAGTCCTCTTGTGTCACTGTAAAATTCAGTGGAATTAATATTGCTTCTAAGTAGCTTAGACTATGAACAACTACCTGAGTAGACTGTAATTCATCAGCACCCATGAATCTGAGATCAGTGGTTGAAAATTTTAAAATCATCCTCACAGGAACTGTCTTGGTCTATGCTTGCTGTTTTGTGAACCTGATTAGACACCCATGAAGCTATATGATTATTTCCTACTCCTCCAAGGGACTCTTCCTAAACATGCTTCTCTCACACCTTTATTTTATTTCAATAGATTATTTAAAAACAGCTGCTTTCCCCCCAAAAAACAGGCATATGACTAACTTCTCACATAAAAATCATACCTCGGCCATTCCCATATTTGGCCTGAATCAGAGCACAAGAATTCACGGGAATATTTCCATTTATTTTGTCATCAGGTGCTTTCTAAAGCAAGCCTATGGCAAGATAACTAAGCTTCCATCATAAACAAATTAATGAATTTTGAGATATTTAGCTCTTTAGTTATTTGTCAAATGCTGAATTATTACTAGTGTGATTTAGCTTTAAATACAAAGAGTACAAAGTGAGTTTTTCCAAGTACAGGTAGGTTTTCTTCCTTTTCAAACAACTCACCCAAGTAGCTGTCATCAAAAGCAGCACTGGCAGGTCTGGTTGCTAACTGGTCATCATACTTCGTACTGTAGACTCTGGAGTCATATTTAGCCACAATCTCTGTCACTCGATCAGAAATAAGTTGTCCTAAAGAGAAAAAAAACAGCTTAAAACAGCAAATAAAATGTGTGCAATCATTCAATAAGCAAGAGGACTCATGTACAGAGTGCTTGCTTCTAAAGCAACAACTCTTCCACAATACTGGACAGAAAATAGCCAACAGCAGCAGCCCTAGAAAGGATATAAATGAAAACTTGGATCCTACTTGAAAGATTTATGTACATATTTATTCAAAAGCACACAAAGAGCTCTCACCAAAAAGAGAAGCTGCTCCTGTATGTAAACCAGGACTCAAATGGTACCAGTAAGCATATGCTTATGGTATTGCAGAGCTGAATCATTGCTCCTTGTGTCAAAACCGTAACTTGAGAGCTTAGCATGGCAGCCAAGAAGCTGATAAGATGAGCCCAGTGTATGGCCACATCCTGTCTTCCCTCAGTAGCCACAAGGGAGTGACTTCATCACATTCTTTTCTTTCATTTTAAATTGAATCTTGAATCACTATTTTTTTTTTCAGAAGAGCAATTACTTCACATATAGATTCATATATGTATAGAGCACAGGGAAAACTTCATCTCAGATTGTGCAATAAAAATGTTGGGTGAAAATCTAGTTTTTAAAAGCATACTATTGTCTTTATTCAGAGCTGAGATTTTTTTTGTAGAAGTAGTACGGAGTAAGGTTGTGTCAGCAGATGATGCATCACTTTCACAAAAAAAAACCCCAGTAAAATTAATACACAAACATGATCTATATTATATCATATCTGCACTTCAGCTTCAATCATTCAATTTTGTCCTCAGTTTAAAACACAGAACTGGAAACAAGCCTCCTGTGCTACTGCATCTTCATGTAGGCTGGCATGATGCAGAACATCTTTCATAAACTTCAGTATTTACATTATAAAACCAACCAGCAGAGTCTGGCAGCTATGTCCTGATTGCAGCAGCACCAACTTCTGAACAGAGGGCTATAGCTAAATGCTGAATGAACCTGCAAAGAAATTCTGACCAAAGCCCTCACTAGCAATATAAACATGTAATGTTCTGTGAAAACAGCAGAGGGGTAAAACGTGCACCATGGCACAAACACATACATATAGAGCAAACACAACACATCTTGGTCATCAAAAGAAAATAAGAATAGTTCAGTTTGCAGGGTACATCTCTCATTAAAAATACATGCTTTGTATGTGTGTCAGAAATTACAAAACATGTAGATTTTGAAAAAACAAGCAAAATATCCTAAAGGAAACATCCTGCTGGTGGAAACAAATGCCACATTCCTCTCAAAATGCCTTTAAAAGTATCATAGTTATTTAAAAGACAAAAGACATATCTATACAATTACTTCAATTTTAATCTGTGGTTGCCTAGATTATTCAGGAAATATTTTCAAGGATGAAGAAAAATAATTTCTGTCAGTTTTCTTACTGACAAAGATTTTGACAGTGGTGGGAGGAGTGTGGATACAAATAACTAAGAGGATAAAGACAAGAGTCGAAGAGGTCAGCTTCTCTGTGACCTAAATTGTGTCTCACCTTGCCAGTAAAAACTTCCAGGTCCTCCAAGTAGCACTCTGTCTCCCTTGGAAGGGAAAAGAAAAAACAACTTAAGCACATCTAAAGACAAGAGGACAAGTCCTGTGTTTATGGGAAGTAATCGCATGCATGTTTATCACTGTAGCTTCACTGACCCAAATACCTTTTATTTTTTTGGATGACTAATTAAAAATGCATCTTGTAAAAAGCAACAACAAAAACCAATGTGCTTTTGGTGGATTCCTTTTCTTTTTCACCCCATAAAAAATTCTAGATAGAATTCTGCTTTTATTGTACTCGACACTTCGACCCACATAAATGCAAGACCACAGAAATTATATTAGGAGAAAACTTTAAGACTGCTACAAGGCCATAAGAGGCCAGTACAGAAAACTAGTTTCATCTTCTGCCCCTGCTACTTTCTGCAACTTCCCTTTAGAACAGTTTAATTCAGAAAAGCTATGATGCAATTCCCCACTCCATACTCCTTGGTGCAACTGCAATCCACAAACCATTTTATGAAACTTTAACCACAACAGCTGTCCCAGTGCTGGGAATTTGCTCTGTAAGTACTGGGCCATAGGCTTTGCTGCATAATTAAGCCACTTATTCAGGTTTTAATCTTAAAAATGCCCATATTCAGAATAATGTAGGTCAGAGATTTGGAGATACCTTATACCCAGGCTTGCCCACTCAACCAGGGTTTTGGATTAGAGCCCAGGGTTGGTTTTAACTGGGGCTAGAATCTGCACACTAAGCCTGAGGGGTACAGGCAAAGTAGCTCAAACACAGTCCTATGTTGCACTTTGCACAGTTCCCTCTGAAGGAAAAACAAGGGTGTCCAGGGGCAGAGTGAAGGAATATGACCCAATCATACAAGGTGAAGAACAAAAATAATTGCCACATCACAAACAGGACTTTCATGGTCTTAACCTGTCCAGAATATGCTAAACAATATAAAAAAAAAAAAAAAAGTTCTCAGATTTGTGCAGTTTTATTGTTCTTGGATTTAAAAGGTAATTGTGAATTTTACAAAATTAAAAAAAAAATCAAAGCACTATAAAACGCAAGGAGAATATAAAAATAGGGGAAACCCAAGACAGCAAAAAAGAAAAAGTCTGCTTCTGCTAGCTGGCATGAAAAATAAAACATAATTCACAAGAACATTGTTCACCAGCAAGTTAATTCTTCTAGGTTTAGAACACTGGAGTGGTCTCAAGTTATTCTTGTTTATTTACAAGGATGTGTTTGGTTGTGGTTTTCTCCCCAGGAATGGCAGTTTACATTTACTTTTGCTGTAGCTGTGTTTGTATGTGGTCTGTATCAGGGCTGTCGTTAGCTCACAAATGTCTGCTGACTTGCAGGAACTGAGAAAGAATCACACACCTTTGTAAAGTCAATGCTAAATCCACCTTGACAGAATCCCTGTCCATCTGCATCAATAGTGGCTACAAAAAAGATCAGAAAAGAGACACAAAAATGAATAAATATTATCAGTTCTACATTGGATGATTCTGTGAGTACTTTCTAATGCTTCTTCCTAACAAACCTTGCATTCCAGAACTTGAACCTTGCAATTTTTTTTCTTCTAAAACAATATTTTCCTTTTATTAACAACTCACAACCAAATGCTGTAACAACTTCAGGGCTGGCCTAACATAGATACAATGTTAACGTATGTTCTAGCCTAACCCAGTCTAAGTAAACAGCAGCTCCACATTCCTTTGTATTTAATCTTCAAAAATTTTGGGGAAAACTATTTGCAATTTTTATTCAGGTTATCTGGAAAATAGGGAATAAGGTTTTTCTTTTGGCATGGAATAAAAGTCTGAAAGATATATCACTCTAAGTTGTTTCAAGTACTGGCTTAAAACAAAAGAAAAAAAAAAAATCTCTAAAAAAAGTGAAACCCATCCCAGAAAGAACTGTTATAGCTGAGTTAATCTTACAATTATACACCTCCAGAGTAGAAATGTTGAGAACCCCTTATCTGGAAGTGTGACTAATTAACTGCCATGATTTAGTTTAATATACGGTGACTTAACTTTTTCTGTTGGACCACACTGGATTCATTCCTTCTATCCACCACTGATTTTCAGGAAATTAAAAAAAAAAAAAAAATTCCTAGCTAGAATGCTCAACTTTTAAGACTTTATATTTCAAAAGAGATTATAAGCATCTGAATAATCTACAACTCAACTACACAATATGGATGCAAAGAGTTTGGAAAATAAGACTCAAAATGTTCAACAGTAAATATAATTTAAAAAATTAATCACTATGTATGTATGCATACATGGAAATCAGAACCTACTTGTGCAAAACCTTGTTTTCTAAAATGAGCTCTCTCTTTAAATTACTTGAATAACTTCAGAAACTCTACAGGTGGTCTTTAAAAAAGCACTTGCTATGTAATTTTGCTCTAGTGATTACTACAGAAGTGGTCCTGTCAAAGACTGAAGTCCTCAATGCCAATGATCCAAGATTTTCCTCTGACCTACAGCAGAGGAAGCAAGGTCTGCATTCTGAACATCAACTATCCATGTCTGCATCTACCTTGGATTTTTTTCTAATCCTTATGGGGCTATATATGGAAAGGGGAAAAACCTGTAAAGCATCCCACTTCCAATGCACAAAGAATACGACATGAGAAATTCCAAACAGAAAATCAACAAACTGCTGTACACTTACTTGACCTGCAGGGTGCATATTCCACAGATTTAGATCCAGCAAGCAGGTAACAAGTTCCCACAGGCTCTCTCTCTTGTTTTGTTTCAGTCCTCCAGTGGTACAGTGGGGCACAGGCCTAAAAAAGAATACATGGGAGTATAATACAATGGAATTCCAATTTTCTACCAAATAGTAACTAAAAGAAAAGCTTGGCAGATGTACCATGTGTTATTAGAGAAGGTTTATAGTACCAGACATAGGGCAAAAGTATCACCAGTTTGTATTTTTAGAAATAGCTGTTTTACTGCAAGAATTTTATAAATAATATTTTCTTAAAGCAACTGTTTTAAGGAGTTCACCAAGATTTTAACACATTAACTTCAGCAAACCAATTCTACTGCTTTCGTCAAAATCAGACAAAAATGCTACAACCTTGCTTACAAAGAGTTAAGAAAAGGCCAGTCAGTAAACTCTGAAAAAAAATACAAGTCATGCTGATTAGTGTGAATCCGTTCAAATTCTGAGTTATCCAGATCTTTTCATATTTTTTTCAGTACTGAGACATTTGAAGGGCATAAAAAAACCTACCAGAATTTTATCATTTTTCGATCTCACAGAGGCTCCAAACCACTGATGAGACTTAAATTCCAGTGGATCATCAGGAGCAAAATCTCTGTTGCCTACGAAGAAAATAAAAAAGAAGCATAATTTCACAGGAAACTGTACAGTAAAAACAAATAAAAAAAGCTAAACAATTGGTTTTAATGCAAGAAAAGCATAGAACAGTAACACTGGAGGATATAAAGGATATCATTTTATGGAAATAAGCTTTAAAAACACCTTATTATTAATTTTTACACCCAAGGCCAAATGCACTGGTTTTACATACAAAGCATTAGCACAACACTGATTTGTTGTAAGAGTGTAACCCTCATAGCATCTCTGACAGCACCACAGTGAATACCTCACACTTGGGACATTTGACTTGCAGGTCAGATTGCAGCACTGCTCAAGGATCGGTGCCAAAGCCAAGTTAAGACTAATGCTTCTAGAAGAAATAGTGCCCTGATTAAATTATGTGAGTTTTGCCTTTGGCTGGAATTGAAACAAATTCTTCTGCTATTCTACCAAGCGTTAACATGTCTATTCTGAGTGTCACTTCAGTGTACAGAGCACAGCAGCTGGTGTGCTTGCAAGCTAGGAGTAAAATGAAAGGCTAGTCAGTAACAAAAAAGTTAGAGTTTTCCATCTGGAAGAGTCAGTAAAGGATAATTTGCCTGTCTGTTAACTGTGTGATGGTGAAGGCTGGTAGAAGCAGCTCAGTAAGTGGTACTTCTGCAAGTGTGAATGTTGAAGATCATTCAATGTTTTTTATGTATTTTCACTGGAACAACAATGGCAACTTTGCCAGCCTAATCAGAAAATGAATGTAGCCCTCTGGAAAACAAGTCTTTTAGAAAAAGTCACCTAAATGGCTGGCTTACAGTGCCTAAAGGGAAAGGAGTCAATGAGGTCAACAGCCATACATCTCTTCCACAGACTGCTGGGGGAAATCCCCAAACCCAACCCTGCTCTGAATCAGAGACCTGTGACCACTTGCATCAAAACTTCCTTGCTCATCTTACATTGTAAAGAATGTTTTGTCTTGAAAGACTGTGTTCTTTCCATTAGGAAAATCCCATGAAAAGGACAACAAAAGCAATTCTAATCTGCAGTCAGTCAAACTGAAAAGTGTCTTGACTACAACTGCTCTTGGATCAGAACTACATAGAGATCAATGCCAAGTGCACAGCATCACAGAGAACTACCTGTTGTTTTTTCCAACTTCACCAAAGGTAATTAACCCGCCCCCCACTTTGTTCTGTCACCCCCTCCTCCACCCTCATATTGAACAGCTCCTAAAGACACAGAGGACCTGATGATGAGCACATCTACACAGATCTATACACACTTGAGCATTTATGCCATCACCCTTGCACAGACAGAAATTTAGTTTGGAGACCTGTGTGTCACCTTCTCATGGTACAGAAAACCAAAACCAGATCAAGATATTTTCCAAACAGGGGATTCTGTTTTGCACACTTGAAAACTCCCCATTGTATCGTTATCTTTTCCCTTCCTTGCCTTTAATTAATGAAAATCCCCCCATGGACAGTTTTGTTCAAAGGACACAGTTGCACAATTGAGTTAGTTTCAGGTGAAGCTGCTAGCAAAAGGCACAGCAGATCCCATTTGGTCCTGATCATGTATATGTTCCTGCTGCCCATCTCTGTCTTGGCACTACCTTGTGGTCACAATCACAACATGAACTACCTAAGAATTCATGCTGCTAACAAAATATTCAGCTAGATCAGGGACCAACACAGCTGACTGCATGGAGAGGGGACGCAGTGGTGACCTGCTATGGAGAAGACAGAAACACATGGCTGGGAACTATATCCTTTTTGGCAGCATCAGGGACTTAAAATTGGTTTATTCTGCATGTAACCACACCCAAATTTATGCAGCCTAAAAAGACAGATTTGCCTTCTTCCCTCTTTGTCCAACTACTCTCAAATACAGAGAAATCTCTCAGCTTTACTTGCCAAACAAAACTTTAAACAGTATCAAACTTAAGAATAGTTAACAGCATGGCATGTTACACCCTTCTCCACTGCTGGATACTTAGAGCTATGTATCTATGATTGAAATGAAAGGTAGTATAGCAGTTTCATAGTGTAATACAGTATCCAATTGTGCTAGGTACTAGAAAAGCATCTAGCATGTAAACTTCCCATTTAAGTCTAAAACAATGGGCAGCAAGTAGAAGGAATGGTCTTTTGCAATAGCAGGTAAGCAGCCATCCACATTATCAGCCATCTGATTTTATCACAGCTGTTGAGGAAATTAGTTCCTTCCAAGTTTCAGCTGAACGCACCAGCTGAGACAGCATAAAACAATAAATAAGTAAATAAGAGCCCGGGTTTCTGGTGCCATCTCCCCAGTCTTGGTTGATTGCAGCCGGGGGAGTGGAGACCAGCAGTTTAACCAGCACATGCTGCCAAAGCAGCCCCCATCTGCCTTTGTCCTGGTCATTCCTGAGCTGCAGGCACTGCCTACTCCCCACGTCCAGGACAGCAGCTACATCAGCTTCTCTCTCCCTCAGTCTTTAAGGGACAAAATTATTTTTTTTCCTACAATGCTGAGAAAGCCCTGATTCAGCTCTAAATTTGGGATAATATTAGAAAACTCTCTTCGATTTTATTTTAATAGGTAAACATCTAGGCTTTGAGATCTAGTCAGAAGCTGACATATAAAAACCTAAAATCTCCTACATTAGAAAGCAAATGAACCAAACCCTGAGATTATTATGTTCCGAGTGTAGTTTATGTTCCAACTTTCATCATTTCAAAAGCCAGCATCATAGTTTCTGAAGGCCAAAATAACAACTTAGAAATTCGGCTTAAAAAAAAACCCTGTCAGGTAGTAATATGTACTCCATTGGTTTTATTTATAGTATGCCAATATTACAAAACTATTTTACAAGCATCTTAGTCAAATAGCCTAATGCCACTGCAGATGCACATAACATAAAGCAACATCTGCTACAAGGTTAAGATGCCTTATATTGAGTTTATCCTTTATTCAAATCTTCTTTAGGTTCTCTAAAACTAAGTGGGGAATCTTGGGGAGAAGGGGTTGCTGTTCAGCTTCAGGCTGGCTGTAACAGGCAAGTGCATTAAGACACAAAAATCAGAAAAAACTTAAGTATGTACATTGGAAACATGGACTTGTCAGATTAAATAGTTTAAAAAATGCAGGAAAAGTAACCTTTATTTACCTACACTTCTTCAAGATTCTCCCCAGGAAAACACTGTGTAAATAGATTATGAGCCTCTCCCTCAGGTCTAGAAGAGAAACTAATTTTATGATGAAATCTGGAAAACACCCTGTCATCAAAAATCCCCTTGCTTTAAATGAAAAACCATTTGGGTTTCTGTTCCTGACTGGGGAAAACAAACATAAAGAACACTTAAATGTAAGCCCTCACTGATCCAAATCAGTTCAATACAGTGCTTTAGCTGTACTGTAAAGTAGGTTTGTTATTGGAAGATACAGGACTGACTTCAGCATTTCTGTGGTTAAGTATAAATAAAGAGCCTGAATTTATTATTTTATCAGTGGCTGTTAAAAAAAAACCTTCCCCCACACCCTTTAAAAACAGTACCTACACTAAATGAAGCAAACTGTAATATAGGTAGGATTGAAACATATAGGGATTTATAAATCCAGCCCAATGTTTTGATGTATTATAGTCAGCCTTACTACTGTAATGTTCTTATAGCCACTGCTGGTTTTCTATTTCTGACTTCTCTTAGAGTATATCAAGTAAACCTTAAAAATGTCTTTAAACCAATGACATCCATTTTAAGCAGGCATTCAAACAAATCTAGGCAATACAAACTATGTTCTGACTAGATTTAGTCAAGAAAACGTTCAGTTTTTACACAATGCTATTTGTCAGAGTAAAATGCAACTGCTACAGGGACTTCTACTTGACAGGTCATTAATTCCAGGATTATGTCATTTGTCCATAGGGATACTTTGTATCTGTAAAAGCAGCTTATGCTGTGGTTTTTCCTTTGCTCCTTCTCATTGCAGCAGACATCACATGATGATTTTTTACTTAACTCTTTCATAGGGAAAAAGGGCTGACATGCCAAGTCAACAGTGTACTGGTGGTCTCATGAAGTATTTCCAGGTGAGGTGATGGGGTTGTCAAGGCAGGAACAGAATTGCTTTAAAAAAATCCATCACATAGGTTCCTTGTTGCTGCTGGACCAATGAGATAGTGTCACTTCAGTGTGTTACACAGGATTTAAAATTATGCACGGACACTAACACAGAACGATGAATAGAATTCTGAGCACAAATAGCAGAACAAGGCAACAAAATGGTCTAAGCCATCTTCCAAGTATACCAAAAAGATGAAAAGGTGTTTCAGTGATGGATGTCTTTTGGCTATCAGCTTTGGATAGTTGGCACTTTCTTTTTCCAATGTAAATCTTACCAGCCACAGCAACAATGGTGTTACTACAAATGACTGCAGCCAGCCTGTTTGCACAGTAAAGAGAAAACTGATCTAAAACTGTGCCCCTCATCTTGAGTGCCAGATTTAACTGAGGCAATCAGGAGTCAAGATGCAGTGAACTGATGAAGCTTGGTTCAGTGTCATAGTACTAGGAATACTTAGGAAGTTGTAAAATTTAAATAGTCCCCCAATTCACATGATTTCTCTTAAAATAAACCTCTTTGTAACTATGCTAATTCAATGGGAATGATGTTGTCCCTTCTAGGAAAAGGAAAACTTTATGCAGCTAGCCAAAAAAAGACCTTATGAAAAATACAAGAGAGCCATTTTCATGCTATGGGAACTTCAGGTGGTATAAAGCTAGCTATCTTCCACCCAAAATCTCAGCCACTTTAACCTTAGCTCCTGAGGCAAGAGGGAGCGAGTACAAGCTTATCTTTGAAATACCCCGTGCTGTGAGGCAGCTGATGGTTCAGCAACCTTGGTGCAGACACAGTGTTTTGTTAATGACTCATGGAGATGGGAATATGGAGCTTCCCACTGCTCCCCTTCCCTCCTCTGAGGTACTAATCCTGCTGCCTTCCCTGGGCAGTGCTGGGACAGAAGCAT